AAAAAAAATCAATGACATTGCAACAGAAACAGAAAATGTAGGTTAAGGGCCAATATAGGGCCAAATAAAAACACTAGTATTTTACTTTGGAAAAGGTTAATATAGAAACAAAAGTTCGATAAAAAATTTAATTTTCACTATAGCAGATGCTTGAGATGTTTAATATCTATGTATAAAACAATATAACATACCATTTTTTATTAAGTTGGCTTTTCAAGAAATACTAATAAATAGCTTACTCTTGTTATTTGTTCCTACTATTTTCATTTATTTAAATGTAACGGATCAACTTTGCTTTATAAAAAAATCCCCTAGTCTTTAAAGCTTGTTTTCGTCTACTCAATTTACGTGGACTCTTTGCTTGATTATTTGATCAAAGCGACCACCGGCAAAAAAGAACCCCAAAAAAAGCCCACAAAGTGCGCAACAAGTGAGCATCAATCCCACCCTTGAAAAACCCCAAAATAGAAAAAGGGAAATTCCGCAGAAAAAAAACAAACAAACTTTTCCTGCTATTTGCCTAATTAAATGGGAAAAGAAAAGGGGAAGGGCAGGCGGTCATCAGATAGTACGCCAAGCTCAAAATAATCAACGAAAAATTCCAGAGCACGGGAACGAGAACAGATAAGTAAGAGTGTATTTGATTACAAAGCATTAATAAGAAGCGCCAGCCGGCGAAAGGTAAAAAAGCATTTCGGATAAGGCCGGGTAAAAGCCGCGCAAAAGAAAAGTCCCTTTTCAAGCAGCCACCACAGCCGCAGCGGAAATGGCCGCAAAAAGGGAAAGGTGCTAAAGGTGGTGAACAAAGTGCCAGGAATCAAGAAATAATAAGGCAAAAAAAAAGTTAAAGTAACAAATTATTAGCAATTATACACAAAGAAAACACAATGGAATAGTTAGAGGTTGTTTTCTATGTATTTAATAAAAAAAATGAAATAAAAGATTTTAAAAACAAATAGCAGTATATTGGATATTTTTTAGATTTACGAATCTATTTATTTCAATCAAGGATTAATGAAATTAGAAAATGTACTTTAAATATACATAATATGTTTTTTAAGGTTAATAAAACTTACATCCTTGTATTCTTATTATAATTTAATTTCATTGTAAGTGGAAAAAATATATAATTCAGAGAACCATTACTTAAATCCGCAAAATACTTTTTATATTTATGGTATTTTTTTATAATTTTTTTGTCAGTGTAAGAACAACAGCAATTCTTGTGAGAACACGAACAGCATCTGCAGGTAAATCATTAAGACTCCGACTGCGGGTCGGACTAAGTCGTAATTAATGAGCGCGTGGAACATCGTTGAGCTGGGCGCCGAGCAAATTAACTTGAACTGGAAGCCGAGGTGACTGAGGGGGATGAAAGGGGGGAGGGGGGTCGCTTTGGAGTCGAAGGTTGGGGGTTCAAGTGCAATTAAAGCAACGCCGCATTTTGTCTTGTAATCATCTAACTTTTCCCCTTCTTTTATTGCTGACGGGTGAAAAAGAAAGCGAGAACCGCAGGAAAAGTGAATACGGAATAGGGAAAAATATCTGCGGAATACCTTGAGTTGCTGAGTGAATAAGAAAAAAACCACTTGCGAAAACTTGTTAAGTTTCAAGGTATTCATGGAAGGGTTTGTTGATGCTGGTTTGATTGGTTGAGCTCAGCCAATCATTTCATTTAAGATTGAGGTGCATAATAATTGGAGATAGATTTGATTTGGAGTAATAAAGCAGTTAATAAATATAACTATACTCGTATATATATCTCTACCTTAAAGCTGATGAAATAGTCCAACTTCTCTGAACTTCCTAATTAATTCGTTTTACCTCACCCATTAGTGTTTAATTAAATGCATACATGAATAGTTTTAGGCATCTAATCCGATTCCTGGAATGGTTTATTATACCGCTTCGATGAATCGCAATTAATCTGCGCAGGAAATCGATTAAGGAAGCCCTCCATAGGGTTTCCTGCTCACTCCCTCATCTTAATCTCATATTGGAGCTAATCTTACTTTTGATTTCAACGTTTTCCATTCGTGGAAACCCATTTTGAATTTACCTTTCCCCTTGTGACCTTCAGTTTCCACATCCTTATTAAGCTGTCTTTGATTCTTTTGTTGGGGAAGCCTCAAAGTTTTCACGCCCCCTTCCCCAGTTAATTATTAAGTAGGATACACAAATTTATGGTGAGCACCAAGTCGAAGGTAACACAGAGCCGCAGGCCACGCCCCCCCGCCTCCGCCCCCTTTTAGAGTGTTTGTTGTGTGCGTTGAGGTGTAAACGTGCGGATTAAGTGTCTCAGTGTCTGCTCTCGTCCTAGAAGATGTATATCAATGGGCTTTTCTTGGGGGGTGGAAGTGGATTGGGGAGTTTGGGGCGTGGATAATGCCACCGCATTTTCCTCTTCCTTAACCTCACCAAATTTCCGCTTCGCCCTTAACTTTGCTAATTTTTGTTGCTCTGCTTTGGTTTTCCTTTTTCCTCAAGGTGAGCTTTGAAAAATTGATGAGATTTTGTTTGCTTTGGTTTTGAAGCTAAAGTTTGTCGACACTTGAACTTTTCCATCCTTGGTGGAGAGGATTTTGAAAAGGAATTTCCGCACAAAAGGCAACGCGGGGAAAGGCTCAGAAAAAAGAGTTTTCTTTATAGATAGTTCAATTGGCGTAGAAAAAGCCAAACAGAAAAAGGCTGCCTAAAATGGAAAGCTGAGAAAAAACTGTCATAAGAAATGTGACTGGGATATATGGCTTATATACAGTTGGGTTCAAGATAATAGAATTTGATTTAGTTCTGTTTTAGAAGATTTTATGGATACCCTTAAAAATATTTTACCGTGCCGCAAATAAATCTTGTTTTTGTAAAAAGCTTTTTAAAAATCCTTTCTTTGGTTTTTTTTATCATTTGGCAAAGAATTTCTTGATTCAAAAAAATTACAGTTTTTGGAATGTTCTTTTAGTGCTATAATTCTCACCGCAACTGTACCCGTACATGCTCACATTCATTTATCCATTCATATTCATGCTAAGGCTCCTAGTACAAAAAAAAAAAATAAAGAAAAACGCCGGACATGAATTTATAACGAGTCTGCCTAAGCCATATTGATTGAGGCAGGGAAATAAAGCGACAGACAGTGAGAAAGGAACCGAGTTAAGGGGAAATGGATGAGGAAGGCTGAGACAGAGTTGACTGAGCACTTGGAAATTGCCAGCATTTCTACCGCACTTTTCCCGGCGCAGCAAAGTATGCAAGGAAAAGGAAATAACGTAAAGTCGCATGCAGGAAATCAAACTTCACTTTTGATTGAGTTTCGTTTGGGAACCCGCTTTACGGCCATAAGCCGATTTGTGGTCCCTCACAGGCTTTGTTTTCTTTCCAGCTGCTTTTCATGCGTTTTAATTGAATTTTTTTATCAAAGTTTTACTGGCCATAACCAAATTCACTCCAAAATCATTGGACGGGTTAAGAGGACAGTTTTCGGGCCAAGAACATATATATTCTATATAACGGCACACAGACAAATGAATATCAATGAACTGTCATAAAAGCAGTATCCTGTGCGAGCGAGAGAGCAACTGCAAATGACAAGACTGACACGTAGGCAAACATTTAAGGACCTCCAACAACAACAACAACAGATGCCGCCGAGCACACACAAACACAACACAGCTCAACACACTTACATGAGCCAACGCACAAATACACACATTTCACACTTGACAAGAGGTCATGGGAGTAGAAAATGTTATTTAAAAGGGGGTTTATCTATAAAAAAAATTACTTATTTGGTTTGGCTAAATATTAAATAATAAGCTAGTGAAAGAGCTCTTAATTTTATGTTAATGCTCAAGGAATTTAAAAATATATATGACTTTTTATGTTGTTTATAAGTTTAAGATGATTATAAACATGAAAATAGGAAACCACTCAAAAAATAAATATTTTCCAAAGAAATTTAAAACACAAATTTAAGAAAAGGAGTTTTCAATGTTTGTATAATAAAAAGTAAGCAATAATAAATCTTATATCATCGCTTTCTGGCAATTTTTATAATTGAAAAGTGTTTGCTAACCTTTTATTCACGTGGAAACCATAAAATTTGCCAAGCAAATTTCGAAAAACAAAATCTTTGAGAAGGTTTTCTCAAGGCTAGCCTTCAACCCAAGAAGTCAACCAGCCAAGGCGTCACATAAAACTTTCACAGCTTTTCACCCCGGAAAGGTCGACTAATCTTTCCCCAGAGAGACCTTTCGACCCCCTTTGTCTACGCCCCTCCCCTGGGCCTCCTATGACGAGCATGCTCGGGTCACTTTCGCCCTGCCAATGACATGTGATTTCAACTAATGACAGCTTTTCGGGGCGTTTGTCATCGCAACAACAACAGCAGCAGCAGAAACTCGGGGCCCCAAAACCAGATTCCGACCCAAATAACAGACTGGGGGACAGACAGTCGGTAACAAGCTTAAAATTTAATGAAATTTTCATTTGATGGCCCGAATTTCTTTTCGAGCCCATAATAATCCAATGTGTGTGCCGGCCTGCAGCACATGGCGTATGATTAATGTGGCAGAGTGGGCCAGAAAAAAGGATGCCGGAAAGTTGAGCCTGTCAATTAGTTGAACTTTTGCCAAATATTCAAAACAAAAACTGGCAAATTGCTTAACTTGCACAGATGAAAGCACACAGACAAGTATTTTACATGTTTCGTTTGTTTTCAAGAGGAAAATGCTTTGAAATGTGCCAGCATCAGCATTTAAAAGGGATTTTCTTTTCTTCCTTCGGCATTTGCTCTTTTCCTTTTTCCTTTACTTTATTCTGTACACCTCTCTTTTTGTGGTGTCAATATGTATTTTTGATTAGCTACAATTTCGACTGAGTTTCTGGGTCGTGCCTTTTGACTGCCAACCCAAATAAAACTTGGAATTTGCATATGCATTCAATTTTTAATGAGCTTTTAAGGGGAACATAACACATACGTAATGGGAGCACAAATTTACACTTACCGATATGTAAAGTAAAGCGTTCCTCGTTGGTTTTGAACATGTCAACTGAAAATATAATAGTAAAAGCATATAATTATTATAAGCTTCAAGACTAGCTCATTTGAAGATAGGTTAAAAAAGTTTTGTTTTGTATTTTTTCGATTGGATATTTACATAACTATTTTTCCTATTTTCCTTTCATTAAATTTTCTGCTAGCCATGGGTTAAATGAAAACGTTCTGAACACTTAGCGCCAATGGCCCAGATATCGTTTGCTCGCTGATGCATTAAGTGATGCACTTCACACCACACTCACACCAACTCACTTATACAAGCATACAAGCATACATGCATACAATTTTGCGACACCCTCTTAGTGGAACTTTCATCGGCGACAAGCGCTCCTCTTCTATTGACCCTAAACGCAGGCGCAATTGGTCGCTTGACTGATTGATTGATTGACTGATGGCTGGTTGGCCAAATGGTTGATTGGATGCATCAATTCGAATCGGGATTTAGTTGTCAAGTGGGTCGCACACTCACACACTGACAGATCATTATGCTGGACGACATTATACGTAGCATACATTATGGGGCAAAGGAAGCATACTATTTTATGATAAATTGTATATATTGGTTTAATATAAAAGGAAGGTGGTTTCTTATAACCGAGACTAATACATTTATAGTTTTTTTACTGTTTGCTTTAACTTTCGAATTTAAATACATCTTCAATGATCTAATTTACTGACATTTGTTGACTCATTTTGTAATGCTGCCCTTTTCCAGTCTCGTTCTTTTGCTTATTTTTGGTCAGCGAGTCAAGGAAACAATCGCGACCTAAAAGGCGACCTTTTGTTTGGCTCTTCGCCACAGAGTTTTATCCTTACTTACTCGTCCTTGTGGCTGCCCATCCTCTGCAGCAATTTTAATGGCTTGTCTTGGAATACAATTGGCTGCTGTTGTTTTGCTGGCTTCCCACCCACAATGTTGGCCTAATTAGCAGCTCAAAGAGAATGGCCATTTCCCATTTCCCACAGTCACAGTCGGAGTCACACTTGCACATTCACACACACAGAGACAACCACCAACCACTCACATGAGCATTAAGGATAAGCCAAATGTTGGCTTGCATTTATCACGCATACGCCGTGTCGGCCAAAAAACCACTTTGTGTGGCAAGAGCCTGAAAGTGGCAAGACACGGGGAGGGGCGAATACGTTGGGAGGGCGACTAAAAATGTAATTTTGGCATTAGTCGAGGTTGGCAAACATAAAATTACCTTGATTAGAAACTCAAATGTGGCTCATGCCGAATAAACGAGGGGAAAGAAGAGAGATATGCCACGGGGAACTGGCGATTGCCACGTGGCCATATACATATATCAGCGCCGACCTAAGCCCAAAACGACTTTGGCCCATGCCAGAAACCCCCGCGCCACCCAAACCACCCCCTCAGCCTCTTTTGGGCCAGCCCCAAGCCCATATATTAGCGTACACCTGTGTGCCAAAAAGGGGAGGCTGCGGGGAAATGGGAATAAAGCCAGGCCCAAATGATGCTGCGTTGGGTGTTGGCCACCATCTGAGGAATGGCTGAGGTTTTCGACCGGGCGCCTCTGTTCCGAAGGGTGGGAGTGGAGTGCGAGTGGGGGTGGGAGTGGGAGTGCTTTGTGGTGTGAAGACCCACATTCGTGCAACGCCTGTTACCTTGAGGCGAGCCAAGTCGCAATAAAAACCAAGCGTCACACATAAAAAGGCAAAGCGGAGGAGATATGGCAAAGGAAAGCTCTTAAAAGTGGAACAAGAAAGTGCACTATAAGGTATAAAATTTAAAAATGAGCGAGTCAAAAAAAAAAGCAAATCATATGAGGGTGCTTAAAAATAAACCTACAAAATTTAAGGCTGAAGAAAAAGCTTGCAATATTAAAAATTAAATGTATTAACAATATTTTAAATACATAAGTTAATTAAACATATCATTGATATTATCTCTCTAAACTTAAATTTAATTATTTTTTATTATTTTTTATATATATTCTTAAGAAATTCAAAAATATTCCATTCCCTAACAAAGGAATACCTGCATATAAAGGCACGAACTGTGCAAACTGCTGAGGCATCTTCTTTTCTTTTCCCTCGCTCTTTCCCACTTTCCGTTTCGTATCAATTACATAGCATATGTACGTGTGTGTGTGTGTGTTTAACGTTTAGTTTTTATGTTTTGCCATAACAAACACAAAAGTGGGCGGGTGAGAAAGGTGGGCGGTGGGCGGAGGGAGATGGAAGGTGGAAGGGAAGTTCCCGCAGACACAGAAGGCTAATCAACGAAATTGCTGCAGCCTTTTAGGCGACTAAACCAGGGAATGTGGGCAACATATGGCGGGCATAACTGAACCTTCGAACTGAGCCCTCCGTTCGACACTTGGTGTCGTGATTGGAGGGCGTGGCATGATTGATGAACCATTGAATGACCCCTGGAGTGCTGCAGTAAATCCGCCCACTTGTCCACGACTTTGTTCCCTGCCGGCGAACTTTGAATGAAACGAGTGTTATAAACTTTTCGCCACCCCATAATCTCCTTTCGCAACATTGAAAAAATTTGCAATGCAGCATGAAAGGTGGAACACAAAAGCGCCGACGATAAAGTTTCGTTCGTTGCTCTTCTTTTTTTTTTATCCACCAGCAGCTAAAAATTAAAATGAAGCTAAGCAGCAGCTGCAGCAGTTTGCATAGCCGGGATTCTATCGCCATTCGGGGAATGGCATTAACAAACTTTCGGGTCAGCTGGAAGGCTAGAAGGCAAAGTTGCCGGCATTCAAGGTGAGTCAATCAACAAAAGGATTTCACCAAGTTGCAGCTGCCTCTATTCAGGGCGTTTTTCTGGGCGGGTTTATTTACCGTTCATTTAAGAGTTTAAATATAAGAGCTGAGTCCACAAAATGTACAGTTTATTGGTGTTGCCTTTGAAAATAGAAAAGACAGTTTTAAATTGGAAAGATTTTAGAAAGGGAGAACAAGTTATACAAAAAGTGTTAAGAATTTAATTTATATTTCTTAAATTTGTATATTACTTATTATTTATTTATTTATATTATATACATATATTAGATATTCTATTATATTATTATTATTATGGTATACTATAGTGAATTATTTTGTTATTTCTTTGTATATTTATTTGTTTATTAGTCACCATCTGTTGCTTTCCTTGCAAAGAAATGAATTAGACCTCAACCCAACCCCCTAAACGAGTTACTTAAGGGTTCTTTTTCCTTTTGATACAGATCAAACATATGTTCTCATTGAAGGACACTTTCAATATGAGCCGAAACCCTCGACAGCGCCAATCAACATCGCTATGAGCCGGCAAACAAAGCACTTGAAGAGCTTGAAATTCGCTTTGCTTTGTCATTAGGCGACAAGTCGAAAGGACATACTTGAGCGAGTATAGACGTACTTTCTGAATGGATGTGGGACCATATTCAAAACACGCAACACTTGTCAGCAGCAGGCGTCGGCAATCATTCAACATGAACACACACGACACACTCAGTACGAAAAAAACAATGAACTGCACAGAAAAAAATATTGCTTTTGATTTGTAAATAGGTTGTATAACAAGGGAAATCTTTTTAACTTGGAGACGACAAAAAGACTTATAAATTTACTACGCAACACCTCTAAAATTTTATTTATAAAACTTTATGAATTAAGGTATAATTTAGGTATCAACCTAAATAAACGTTTTCCTTCTCAAAAATAATTTGGACTTTCAATAATCGATTGAATTAAATTAATCAATATTTTTGTAAGCAATAACCGTATTGTTATATAGTTTTTTTTTCCAATAAGTAAGCTGCCATTTCGACGAATTCCTAGTCTTAAATGAGTATTTATTTCTGTGTGCCTATGAGTTCGAGTGAAGGGGATATATTTTGGTCCTTGGCTTTGGGCTGCGTTTTTCTCGTTTTCCCGGGCTGTCATCATTAAAGCATCTTCATCGCAGTGGCTGCTTTTGTTGCTCCTGTTGCTTACGACTTTTAGTTGCCGCTCGAAGGCATTTGGCACATGATTTTAGTCCTTTGAGCAGTTAACAGCAGTCCTTAACACTCATTCCCCCACTAATATATTTCGGTGTGCACGTTCACGCCTTAACACCTGCAATGACTTTGTTGACAGCCGAGTGTGTTCGTTCAGGTTTCTAAAAGATGAGGGAATTGAGGAAGAACCAGTCGATTGTGATTTATGCCATTTATGTGACTAAACAGAGCGCTTTTTAGTCACAGCAGCTGATAACCCCTTACTCAGTTTATTTCTATTAGGGAATAAATTAAACTTTTATATCTTATATATAAAAATGAATCGCAATTTATTATAAACATAATAATAATTTAAGTACAAGCTCACATATCAAGGCTTAAGAATCGTTTATTTTCAGTTCTAAAAATATTATAAACTGATTGCGATTGCATTGAGAAATTTTATATTAATATATTTATCTTCTTCTTATTTTCTTTTTTATCTACTCCTATTCCTATTTCAAAACTTCTTCAAATTTCTTTACCTAAAATTAATACCAAGCGACTTAAATCAATTTTCATCTATCAGACCGAAGGAAAATAACTGAAAAGGAATGCTGTACGAAAAATATCCAATATAAATTTGCAATCTACCCAAGGAGTTTCTTCCTTAGCAAGGCTAAGGATTTTCTACAAGTATTGAAACTGTCTTGAAGACATTATATTTATTTTAATCACTTATTTATCGCTGTTTCGAATTCCAATTGCAGAGCCCGAGCATTTGCATAGCCTACTTGTGAGCGCAATTGGAGAACAAAGGCAAACAATTGTTTTGAGGTCGGCTCTGAATTGCCTGGACTAAACCCTTGAGTCTGTTTGTATTGGTGTTCGCTTGTTTGCTGTGTGGCTTGCACTTCACTTAATTGAATCAGTGTGATTGACATGTCTTCTCTGCATATATGAATAGGCTCCGAATGGAATGGGATGCCATGGCATAGTACGAATGTGTGTGTGTGCTTGGAGATGATCTCTGGCCAGATTTGTGGGG